AAGTACCATTAGAGCATAGAGGAGAGAATTAATTCTTAGGTTTGAGGATAATTTTGTTGACGAAGATGACAGCTGAGTCTTTAGGGTTGGTTGGATTTGGACAGGTGGATGAGAAAGTAAAGGGATGAGGGACCTGAAATACTTTGGTGACATCATGAGTGTATTTAAATAAAAAGGAGAAAACCTCCAAACAGTGTAGTATCTTCTTTCCTAATGCCATACAATTTTAAGTTGGAGGGGAAATAGAAGAAAATCTACAGAACCGATTATTTTGGCTGTTCCAGTGTGATCGTAGCATAATTTATATAGATCATCAAATAAGGGATGAGCTCATAAAAGGATATTAATGTGTCATTTTATTGAGCAAAGTAGCATTACAGAAAAGGTGATTTCAAAGGCACATGGCTTTTCATTACAGCCTTCAGGGGCGATGTTTGATCACTGAGAACAGGCTGCTTTGTTCCACTTTCCTCTGATGTTTGGCATTACCCTGAATACATATGCTCTGACTTGGAAAGAATCAGTCTGTAAAGACTTAATAGATTCGAGACTTGCATATTTGAAATACATGTCTTGTGGTTAAAGTGAAATGGAAACCATTTTAATATGTAGCCTATATATACACAAACATATTTTAGACATACATCTCAGCAAATTTTTTTAACAATTATACATATGTGTTTGTTCTGCGATTATGAAAGTTAGCTATTTTTAAAATTCAACATTTTATATTAATACTGAGGAAAAAGTATATTTTAGGAGATGTGATGTTGATAAGAAACTTCTAGTTTTAGGGGTTTGATATTGGTTATATGTCCTTGTCACCTGTTATAGATGTAACTTTCTAGTTCTGGGTATCTTTATTCTTTATTAAGAGTGTGTCAACAGCTTTTCTGGGAGCCACAAAATGGTTAAGAGAAATTTAAAATGTTAGAATTTTATGAGGTTTTTTTTCCTTATATGACCAAAAGAAGTGATTTTTTTTTTTTTCAAAAGGAGAGAGAAACTTGGAAAGAGACCTGAAGATTCAAAAGCTTTTCATATGGAGACCAAAACTCAGGATTTTCTCTTCATGGAATTCTTTGGCTTCTATTCCCTGAAAATTGATATGCAACCTCACACTAATATATCTGTTCTTTTTTATTTTTGGAGGTGCTTGGATTTTTAAATTCAAGGCCTTGCACTTGCTAAGCAGGCATTCTACCATTTGAGTCACTCCCCCAGCCCTTTTTTGCTTCAGTTATTTTTCAGATAGGGTCTTGCCTTTTACCTGGACCAGGTTCAGACCTTGATCCTCCTACCTATGCCTACCATGTATCTGGAATTGTTTGTTGAGATGGGGGGTCTTGATAACTTCTTGCTGGTGCTGGCCTCAAATTACAATCTTTCCTATCTCTCAGGTAGCTGGGATTATGGGCATATGCCACCATGCCCAGCTCTTATCTTTTTAAATTTTAAATTTCAACTAAAACTTTGAAAGAAATATGACCTTTCAAATCAGTCAGTTGTATATATATTAGACACTCATTGCATTGAGATTAAGCCCAACATACTTTAGCTGAGATGAGCTTGGCTAAATTGTATTCTATTTCATGTGATAAAGAAAAATCTTATGGTGCCACCTCTCTGTTTAAAAATCCTTCCTTTTGCCTCTTCCCCACATAAAGGACACCTAAGGCTTTCTCAGTATGGTACCTGTTACAAGAGGCTATTTCGGTTACACCGCATTTGTTGCCTAGACCGATGTTTTACAAACCTTAACATACTCACTAATCATCTGGGGATCTTGTTAAAAATGCAGGTTCAGATTCAGCAGGTTTGGGGTCTGGGCAAGACTTTAACAAGCTCCCAGGTGACACAGTGGACCACACTTCAGGTAGTGGCTATCTATATTACAAATGGCCTCTTATTAAATTGGTAATTGTTCCTGGACTGCAATAACTGGAAATGCAGATTCTCTGACTTTAAGCTTACTTCAGACTTCAAGTGGCTTTTTTTGTGTATTGGTAATTTCATAAGGCTACCTGATTTGGACTCCCTTTATCTACTTCCCTAATATACCCTACACCCCATTTTTTAAAACTATCTCCCCTTTCTTACTTTATAGTTTAGATGCAACAAACTTCTAGACGTTTCTAGAATGTATCAGGTTCCCTCACATCTCAGTGCCTTTTCAAATGCTGTTTCCTCTGTCTGCCCTTGAATCTTGTGACTTTTCCTTTAAAACTCATCTCAGCTGTTGTCTCCACCAGCATACCTTCTCTGGTCTCTTTCCCCTGTAATTGCTTGACTAAATACCTCTGATATTCCCCGCAATGCAATGCATCGCCCCTACCGAGGCCTTCTCATAATCTGTGTCAATTGTCTGCCTTCTTGTCCATTCTTTTCATAGCAGTGCTTTGGGGATGAAGACATTACGCACTTTGTCTTTGATACCTACTGCCAATCACAGTGCCCAACACATATAGGCTTTTATTAAACTGACTGACTGGATTAAAAAGGGAGGTTGATGTATTGTACTCATGCAAAAATCAAATGAAGTATTTTCTCTCAAGAAAATTAAAATTAAGTTGGAAGTAATAAAAACTAAATTCACAAAAAAAAGTTAGATACAGGGTGATAAAATAGGAAAGTTGTAAAATGTTACTGTGAGATTAATTGACCACTGAAAGTTACAGCAAATAACTAACTACTGAGTTCTTTGGAGGAAAATGTCACCATGATTTTTATTATTTATTTAATACCTCAATTTGTTCCACAAAGAGCTGGAGAGTGCTGGTAACTCTATGTAGTGGAGTTAATGAAAGCATAAGCAGTAGTAGTTAGGGCAATAATATGAAAGGTAAAAAGGGGTGTGTAGAAGGATATTTTGGAAACTTGAGAAACAGACTGGCTTATGTGCAAATCCTCTCTTTGTTCTGTAGTGAGCAGTGATGCTGGACTTTCATTTTCATCCTATCTGGGAGGTCGACTGCTATGGGGTCATTAGCAGCTCTCTTGTCCTTTGGTAGAATGTGGTTAATGGGGTTTCTGGGGAGGACAATGAGATCAGATTTATTATTTTCTTGGGTTGTTTAGAGGTGGCTGTGCCTTTATGTTATCTGTCCCTATGTTAAGACTTCTCAAATTATTATAATTTGAATGTGCCCCATTTCCTGTTGGGATAAACACAATTGCAGAGTTGTTTAGAGCCAGATTGGCTGCCAGGTTTAGTAACTTTTAGATAACTTTTAATGCCATAAAAATGTTTTAAATGCTTACTGTACATCAGTCAAGAATCTATGAGCTGAATCCAGGAAAAATTTATAAAACAAACAAGCCTAAAACCTTGCCCTCAAATGTTTTACACTTAGTGTGGTAAAGAGGCCATAAACCATCTTAGGGGTAAGGAAAAATTGGTGCTGTACTTAGAGGGTTACAGTTCTATAATACTTGTTTATATAAGTCTTACTTTACAGTTCAATTGTAATGCAATTGTATGCTAGAGGAGGATTGTCCCTTTTTACTAGAGGTAGATTGTGAGAACTCTTATTTCTCCTCTTTCCTATTCATCTTCTGCTTATTTGAAACCAGAGTTTTAGATCCCAGGGACAAAATCCTGGGATTCCACATGTCAGGTCTGGTCACTCACCCTTATCCACCAAATAAAGAGACATGGTGAAGGGCAGAGAAAGGTTTATTACATGGTATGAGCAGCTATAGGAAGACAGCACTCAGCCCATCTTCAGTCATCTTTGGAATATGGACATGAGAAGTCTAGGTTTAAATAGATAAAGAATGAGGGCAGGGAGCAAAAGGTATGCATAGTTAGACTGTCCCAGTCACATGTGTGTTCAGAGGTAGCAACAGGTGGTCTGATAGCCCATTGTCTCATAATTGGTCAGGTGGGGCCTGATTGACCTGCCTTTGTTCTGCAAAGGTTCCTGAGAAATTGTTGTCACTTGAGGGGAGCAATGTGGTTCTCAGTAGATGATCGCTCCTGCTCCAGGGTGCTGGCTATCCTCTAGCTCCAGGCAATTGCCCCCATTTGGAGGGGTTTTGTCTTGCTAGACTCACTGTTTCTTGGAAGTAATTTCGGTCTCCCATAAAGATGTCACCAATCAATTCTGTCCTTTCTGGCTTCCTAGGTGGCTGCACATTCTAAAGTGAATGGCTTAGAGCTAAGACAGGTACAAAATGGATGGAGGGATGCCAAGCTTTTCTCCTGCTTTTAGTTTTAATTTGAGGGAGCAAGAAAGGAGTCAATGCTTTTCAGAAAAGTAGTTTAAGTACCTGTTACAATTTTACCACACCACACATTGTCTTTCTATCAGGGCAAAAAAGGGAAAATAAATTGATAAAAAGCTTAATGTTAACATCTGTAAAGAAAGAGTATCAGGATGGAGACTGAAATCCTGAGCCAAAATGAAACTTTTCTGTTTTTCTGGGTTTGTCTGCCACCTATTGCCATAAAGGTATTGAGAGTTGTTTCTGACTTATCAAAAACCAAAAGATAAAAATGGGCAAAAAGTCTTAATACTCATGATAATGAAGAGAACCAGGTGAATATGATGTTCTTACTTTAAATCCCTGGTGTGCAGACCTCTCTGTCTTTGGATGTTGGGTTGCACTGCAGCCTTGTTTGAGGTACTTAGATCACTGTTGACTCATGTGAACTAATTCTGTGACCCAGCAAAAAGAGACAATAAATACCAGCAGTGGAAGATATGTTAGTAGTTTGACCTTGGACAAATGAGCTAAAGGTGCTGAAGAAGCCATAAATTCAATTTATAATAACACAAAAATAAGATTGTTTATATTTTGCCTAGTGAATGAAATGAAAATTTAATATGTTTCCTGGTACATGGTGAGCATTTTGGGAGGGTTGATTAAATTTCTTTTTAATAGGTAGCTAAGAAAGGAACTCAGTAAAAACATTTTATGAGAGGCTTTTGCTTCCTATTTTGCTCTTACTGTTTTGTTCTTGTTTAAAAGCTCCTTTTACTTTTCTTTCTTTTCAGGCTCTATTTATGAAATGTTTGGAAATGAATGCTGTTTATCAACAGGAGAGGTGATCAAAATCACTGGTCTTAAAATTAAGAAGATCATAGCTGAAATTTGTGAGCATGTTGAAGGCTGTGAGTCTCCACCACCCTTTGAACTGCCTATGAATTTCCCAGGTAGAGTATACTGCAGCCAGTGATCATTTGTAAAACTGCATTGCTGATAGTTATATACATCTATCCATCTGGAGACAATGAACAAGTGTACCTCGCTTGCTTTACTTATTTATTTTTAAACTTTGAGCCAGGGTCTTGCTACGTAGTCAAAACTGGCCTCAAAATTCCTTTGTAGCCCAGACTGACCTTGAACTTGAGAACCTCTTGCTTCTGCCTTCTAACTGCTGCAATTACAGATATTCACCAAGATGGCAGGTCTTCTTCTTCCTCAAGCAAGAGCAGTGGGTAGTGAAAAAAATCATAATTCTTACAATTCAATAAATTTAAGGACTAGTAGAAAGAAAATACATTCCGCATTTTTAATAAATGCCTTTTACTGAAGAATTAATTAATTTAGTTAATATATAATGGTTGAAAAATATTTAGTGAGTATCTTAAGTTAAATTTATTTTTAACTGAAACACAAAATGCATAAAACTGTACATATTAATGGAGTAATGTGATATTTTGGTATATGTGTACAGTATATATTATTTAAATCAAGCTAAATATGACTGTCTTCTCAAGTACTTATCATTTATGTTGAAAACCTTCAAAAGTCTTTCCGCTAAGTTTTTGAAATGTACATTACATTGTTGTCATCTACAGTCTCTCCGTGATGCAGTAGCACTTCAGAGCTTTTTGTTCCTACCTAGTGAGTTTTGACTGTGCACATCACTGTCTGTGCCAGATGGGGAGCATCAAGACATCAATGTTAGTTGTGCATGGTGCCATGCACCTGTGATCCCAGCACCTGGAGGGTGAAGCAAGAGCACTGCGAGTTTGAGGCCATTCTGTACTACATATTGACACCCCATCCCCCCAAAACAAAACAACAACAATAAGGTTAATCAAAGCTATATTTTTATAAAATGTATAGAACTAATTAACATCAGTTAGACATATCTACTCTCTGTATTCCTGCTGTCATTACTCTATCTCTTTGGATCACTGCTAAGCTTTCCTATCTGATCTTACAGACAAGTCTGGTTGCTCTTCTTTGTATAGTGAACTCTATTCAGCCTTCCAAAATTAACTCATACATCATGCCTTCTGGGAAGCTTTCATCTACCTTCTAACCTATCCAAGATATCTCTTTTTTATATTCCCATAATATATTGGGCACTATAGCACACATATCATTGGGCTGTGACTGGTCATTTACTTGTCTTATTCTTAAGACCAGTGGTTAGCAAACTTCCTATCAAGTACCAGATGGTCTGTCACACTACTCCACACTGATGTAACATGAAGGCAGCTATAGATAATACATAAAGCAATGGCCATGGTTGCAGCTCAATGAAACTTTATTCATAAGAACATGTGGCCAGCAAGATTTGATCTGTCAACTATAATTTGCAGGCCTCTGTTTTAGACATATATGACTTCAAATTTCTAGTACCAACCACATTTTCTGGCAGAAAGAATATGTGCAATAATTTTTTTTCTGATTGAGAAAAAGAGTAGAGAAAGCAAATTTACAAGCATTACAGTATAATTTGTTACGTAGTATTATCAAAGCTTTCCTAGGTTCAATGGGAGTCTTATCAGGAATATCAAACTGTAATGGGTCACGTTTCAGAACATGGGTTTAGAAATCATATTTCAATCCCCTCTGCCACTTCTTAGTTGTATGATTTTGGCAAGTGATTTACACTACTCAGGTAAAATGAAACAAAAATCTGTCTCCTAGTGTTGTTGGGAGGCCTGACAGTGAAATACATTTAAAGTACTTGTTATAAGAACTGACATACAGCAAGGTCTATAAAAGTGTCAGGTTTTATTGCTATTATTAAGATTATTGTTTGTGTCATTGGGGGAGTTATGAAAAGCTTTTCAGAGAATGCTTTAATTGAGTTGAGGTTTGGATAATTAAATTAGATATATTGAGAAGATTCCCCTAAGTGCTCCAATATCCTGTCCTTGCCCATTGAAACCTTGCCCCCTGTTCAGTTTTATGTCTTCCTTACTGCTGTCTTTTACAACAGTGGTTCTCAAACATGGCTGCATGTTGGAATCAGAATTGCCTCTGGGGATTTTTTTAAATCCCAATGTTTAAACCACTTTGATGAAGCATCCTATTCTTGTGGTTGGAGTAAAGTCTGAGCATCAAGTTTTCTTAAAGCTCCCACATTGGTAGCAATGACCAGCCAAGGCTGAGAAACAATGCTCTTTAAGAAGCTTTTCTATAAGGGCAAAATAGTTTCTGCTGGGTATTTGGGGGTGGGGGAAGAGGGAGGGGGCGGAGTGGGTGGTAAGGGAGGGGGTGGGGGCAGTGGGGAGAAATGAACCAATCCTTGTATGCACATATGAATAATAAAAGAAAAAATGAAAAAAAAAAAAAAAGAAGCTTTTCCTAAGTACTCTAAGTAGATATGCCCACTCCCTTTTAGAGTCACTGAAATTTATCATGCCTGAATTATTGCATTTATTACATTTTGCATGAATTGTAGTTATCTATGTGCTTGTCTTACTAGCATAATCTACCTAATAGATAATGAGGTTTCTGGGATGACAGGCATGAACCACTGCACCTAGCTGTTGGTTGAGATGGGGTCTTATGAACTTATTGCCTGGGCTGGTCTAGAACTGTATCCTCCCAATCTCAGCCTCCTAAGTAGCTAGGATTACAGGTGTGAACCACTAGTACCTGGCTCTATCTTTTTACTTTCAAAGTATTTATCTCATTGATTCTAAAGTATATCTCTCATACTATATAGTTGTGATTTTTTAACTAACCCATTTGGTCAGTCTTTGCCTTTTAATTGTACTGTTCTATCCATTTATAGTTAATGTAATAGCTGATTATATAGGATTTATATCTACCATTTTTCTATTTGTTTTCCATATGTCTTATACTTTTCACATTTTTCTATTTCTCTACTACTATCTTTTGTGTTAAATGGATGTTGTCTAGTGTATCATTTTATTTCCTTTTTTTTGGCCAATACTAGGGCCTTACACTTGCTAGGCACACTCTACAATTTGATTCATGCCTCGAGCCCTTTTTTGTTGTTGGGTATTTTCAAGATAGAGTCTTGAAAACTATTTCCCCAGGCTGGCCCTAAGCAAGAATCCTCCTGATCTCTTCCTCCAGGGTAGCTAGCTAGGATTATAGGCATGAACCACTGGTGCCTGGCTTTCATTTGTTTTAAGCATTGTTTGTTGTGATCTTGTTATTATTGCTTTTTCATTCTAGATGCAATCTTGGTATAATTACTTATTATTTCCTCCTGGTGGCTTTTGTTGATTCCTTCATATTTTCTATATAAGTAATCATGTAAGCTGTGAACAAAGACAGTTTTGTTTTGACTCTCCAAATCAGAATAAATTTTATTTCTTATTTTATTTTATTGTATTGATGGGATCTTCAGTATAATGTTAAAAAATGACTGGTGAAAGAGGACTTTTTCATTCCTGATTTAGAAGGAAAGTTCTTTATCACATGACATTTTCTGATGTTACTAATATGCCGAGAAGCCTTTTTTTGTTTGCTTGTTTGTATGCTTTTATACACAATGGATTTGGATTTTGTCAAATGCTTTTTCTGCAGCTACGATATGATCATGTGATTTTTCTTCTTTAGCATTCTGATTTGATAGGTTACATAATTGATTTCCAAATGACAAATCATCATGTATTGATAATAGGGTAAGATTCACTGGTCATGGTGTATACTTCCTTTTATTGCTGTAGGATTTGATATAATATTTTTGAGGATTTTTTTGATATAATATTTTTTTGGATATAATATTTTGATAAAATATTTTGATATAATATTTTTGAGGATATAATATTTTTTGAGGATTTTTGATACTAATGAGAGATATAGGTCTATAGTTTCCAGTTTTCTCCTTTTATATCTTTCTTTTTTTATTCTGTAATAATATCTTTAATAATAGTTTTGGAATTAGGGTAATGCTGGACCTACCTGGAATGAGTTAGGAAGTATTCCTTTTGTTTCTATCCTATGGAAGCATCATAAAAAATTTTATAATTTCTTTCTGAAGTGTTGGTAGAATTGACTATTGAACCCATCTGGGTCTGGAATTTCTAGCTAGGAAAGTTTTACTTACTGATTAAACTTCTTCAAAAAATATTGGCTTATTCATAGTATTGTCTATTTCTCCTTATGTGAGTTTCAGCAGATTGTGTTTTTGAGGAAGTGACTATTTTAAACAGATTCTTAAGATTGTGAGTATATATTTATTCATAATATTCTTTTGTCATACTTTTAATGTTCATAGAGTCTGTAGTCATGGTCCCTCTTTCATATTTGATTTTAGGAATTTGTATCTACTCTCTGTCTCCTTTTTTTTTAGCCTGGCTATGTGCTTACCTGTTGTGAGACTCAGCTTTTGGTTTGTTGATTTTCTGTATTGATTTCTGTTTTCAATTTTACTCTTAATTCTTATAGCTTCTTTATTTCTCCCTACATACTTTGATACAATTTTCTCATCTTTTTCTTGTTTCCTGAGATAGAAACTTCTTGTGTCTTTCTTCTAGTCTACTATGTGCACATACAATAGTATAAATTTCCTTTTAAGTACAGCTGTTACTGCATCCCACAAATGTTGATACATTATATTTTTTTTTCTCATTGAGCTCAAATATTTTAAATTTCTCTTGAGATTTTGACTTTAATGCTTGTATTATTTAGAAATATTGTTTAATATCTAAGTATTTTGGGATTGCCCATCTATCTTTATGTTATTGATTTATATTTAATTCCATCATGATTTAAGAGCACACATTGTAAAATTTCTATTATTTTAAATTAGCAAGGGATGTTTTAGCTCAGAATGTGGTTTATCTTGGTGAATGTCTATGTGAGTCTGAGAAGAATGTGCAATCTGCTATTGTGTGTTGTCTGACCATCACTTCCAGTTGATTCTTGGTACAGTTGAGTTCAATGAGGTCCTTATTGCTTCCTGACTGCTGGATCTGTCCATTTCTGATAA